ATTTTTTAGCCTATGGAAGCTGCCTGGGGAGTTTAAAGAGAAATCCCTAAAATTTTCCCTCCTAAAAGAGCAGTAAGTATTTGACTAAACCTATAATGAAGCAGGGAGAAGTGAGAATACCTCTTTACTTTGAAAAAGTGAAAAAGTTTGGAACCAAATAGAATGCATCCTAGGATACTGAATCAACTAGCTACAGTCTGGCCATAGTTTATCTTTGAGCCATCCTGAATAATTGGAATACCCAATATTCCCAAAATACCCAATATTCAAAAATGGAGGAAAGGCAAATCCTACAAATTAAAAATCAATCAGTTTGATATCAATATCTAGGAGGATCTTAAATACAGATATGATTCTGAAAACAATGCAGTAATTAATTAAAATCAGCATGACTTTATGAATAACAAATATTGCTATACCAAACCCTTACCTAATTTTTTGATTGAGTAACTTATTTAGTAAATTTTGGGACTGCTGTAGATAGAATATACCTTGACTTCAGCAAACCATATCTATCATAAACTACCGCATGATACACTGATCAGCAATCCAGTTAAGGGTACATTGAACAGCATGACAATCAAGTTGATAAATTATACTTGAAAACCGTACTAAAAAATCTCAGTGATTTCTGGGTTGCCTAACTTTCAATATTTTCATTGGATTTGGATAAAAAGGAAGAAATATTTTCAGATTGCAGATCATATAAAATTGGAGGGGATAGTTAATATACTTGAAGACAGAAATATCATCTCTTTGAGGCATGCAGTTTCAAGAGGCAGACATGGCAAGAATTCCAGGATTGCTTTTCATTATTGGAGGGTAAAAGAAGAAGAATCTTGAAAGATTTGTTTGTCCATCTTAAATGAAATAAATTCAACATGATGTTATTTTGAATTTACTTCTCCTATTTTCTTCTTTCTCGGGACTGAACAATCTTTTCTGAAAGTCTCTTCTTAATTGTTCATTCATTCATTTATTCATCCATTCATCCATCCCCCATTCCAAAGGTCAGGCCTATATTCCTTTGCATAAATGATTTTTGTAGCTTGGAGTAACACAATGAAATCTAATAGATTTGCTCTTTGCACCAATTTGCACTTTGCAAATGTCTTCATTTAGGAAATTAAAAATCAAATGTACAGATCTAGAACATAGAATTGGTAGAATTGATAGGAGCTGAATTATGTATAGAATAGTTAGTTTCAAAAGAACCAGCAATAAAATACTATGCAAAGAAAACAAATAGATCTTTAGAATGCATCAACAAAAGTATAATTTCCAAACTCACTGAAACTAATATTCTATTCTATTCAGCTTTGGTTGAAGTTTGTCTCAAATACTGTGTCCAGTTCTGGGCTGGATTCAGAAAAAACTGGACCATTTGGGAGAGGGGAAAAAAAGACTGAAAGAGATACAGCAATATGCTTAGCTTTAAGAAAAGATGACTGTGAGAGAAACTGATAGCACTCTTCAAATACCAGAAAAAAATGTCTTAGGGAAGAAATCCTGTTCTCTCTTGTTTCACAGTGCAGGACACAGAATAATGGATTTAAATTACAAGAACACAAATTCCACTTTAATATTGATGAGAAAAAACCTTCCTAACAGAGCAAGACTATCATCCATCTCCTTTAATGTCGATTCTTGCACTGAACAGGGAATTGGACTCAATGGCCTAATGGCCACTTCCCCCAACTTTTATTATTTTATGATTATATGCTTCTCTGCAGTAAAACTGGTAAAAGCTTAAGAAACAAAAGTGAAGATGAAGATCCTTGGATGAGAAATCCTTTACTTGCAGTGCTCATGTTTGTTTATGTTCCTGGTTGACAACATTCTGGCCTACATATTCAGCAAGTGCAACCCTGTAGTTGCCCTTGAAGAATAAATCAAAGAATAGGAGTAGTAAATGTTACCTGATAAGAAAGGATGTTTTATTGGTTCCCATAAAGGAGTTCCTAAGGTAGAAACTAACATTGAAAACAACTTACCATAAGGAAGACTGTAAAATAAAAAAATGAAGGTTAATTGATAACAGTAATAGTAAGAATCAAGGAACATAGACAGTATTATGCACCATTGGAACTAAAAAACAATGTCCAGGTTTTTAAAGATGTAAACTTTGAATCTTCAAATCAAGAAAAAAGAAAGAAACAGGCAGGATGCAGGATGCTGAATCCCCCAGAAATACATATGGCTCTCATTCTCCAAATGTCTTAAAGTCCCTTAAGACCTGGTTGTGTTCCAGGCCTGGGATTAGAGGGCTTGTGGAAACCCTGTCATGTTTTGTTTTGTTTTTTAATATTATTGTTTTTTTTTCTTTCCAGGAATTTTGTAACATTTTGTTATATTTTAAATTGTGTTTTAAATATGGTTAATATTTTATAAACTACCCGGTCTTATCTGAATTGAATGGGCGTAACAAATCGAATAAACACAAATCAAATCAATAACTAAATAAATAATTTCCAAATCTCTGGAACTAATCATTATATTCTATTCAGTTTTGATCAAATGAATGAAAGAATTATGGTGGCTGGTTACTTTAAAAAAAAAAGTATGCTATTTGCAGTCATTGGTTTATGATATGAACTATCTGCTACAAATAAATATCAAGGATATCTCAGGACTAACTTTCAAGATTTATGAATCCCACAGACAAATAACTCTTCCATCTAATTTATGTGGAAATAAATTATACTTCAAGGAATATGGATGCTGAAGGAAGCTCAAGATGATGGAAGGATGTGGTGGTATTGATCTTCGGTGGTTTTCCCTGCAATCTAAAATGATTGGAGTAGGAAAGGCGAATATTGCAAATGAATGTCTGGTTAGGCAATTGATGATGATGGAAGAGATTAGATTCCTGGAACAATAGTCTTAATTATCGGAATAATGGACTGCTTGTATGAGACAGGCTGAAGCATGGCAAATTTGACCAGAAGGTTTTAAAATGTAATCCTTTTGGGCTTGAAGATAAGAACTCTGAAGGAAGGACTTCACATAAATACTTGAGCACTGTGGAAGGAAAAGAGAGTGCTGCTATTAACCACTCAAATAAAATGTATGACCATCATACCTACTTATAGAGTACCAGAGACAAATAAATTGAGCCTGAACTCTTAGTCAAGGGAAGAAATAAGGTTCAGTAGGTATAATGGAGACCTGGTGAGATGCTTTCTGTAATTGGAACTGAGCAATTGAAGATGCAGTTGGTTCAAAAGAAGCACACACAATTGAGAAGAATTAGTTGCTATGTTAAAAGTATCTATGCTTGTTCAGTAATCCAATTTAATTTGCTAATATTATAGGCCAGAAACTTTAAGATCTGTGGATTTCAACTTGCAGAATTGCCCAGCCAAGAATTGAAGTCCACACATCTTAAAGTTGCTAAGGTAGAGAAACACTGCAGTAGAGTGAATTTGGATTCAAATATGTGGAGGGATAAAGACAATAAAAATTGCTGTGGGTGTCTAATATGAACCACAGTATTAGAAAGAAAATATGATTACTGCATTCCAAAACATCTTTCAAAGAAGCATGAAGTGGTAGTGATGGGGGATTTTGATAACCCTGACATCAGTTGAAAGACAAATTCTGCCAAGCACAGTCCTACCAGAAAATTCCTGACATGCTAACATTTTTTTGTCTTCTTCAGAGAATAGAGGAAGGCCGCAGAAAATAGCTCTTCTAGGCTATTAATTGATACTAATCAATTGGGACATGTAATCAAGGAAGTGGAAATAGCAAGCACATGACAACATATTATTTGTATTTCTAGGAAACCAACTTATGTATAGTCAAATACTTTGCGGTTTTAAAACAATAAAAATTTAATAGAGTGGATTTTAATAAACCCAGAAAAAATGATAAGGAGGATTCATTAGAACAACAAACTAATAGAAAAGGGAGCTTAAGGTGGATGGAAATTCATTAAAAAGCAAATTCACAATAACAAGCACAATTGAAAATAATTCTAATGAAGAAAAATGATGGAGAACAGCAGATGAAACCAATGTGCATTTTTACAAAGCTTTATAAAAACCTGAAAATGAAAAAAAAAAGCACGTATAGAAAGTGAAAATAGAAACAGGTCACTAAAATGATTGCAGTCATGAAGTCTGAAACTGTAGAGAAAAGCTGAATTTTAGAATGAACTGAGGTTGGACAAAGATTACAATTGTTTAAAATACAAGGAACAAGAAAATCAGTATACCAGCCGCGTATATGGCCACATTAGTATCATATACCAGTGTGGCCAGCATGACATCACTGAGTGTGGTTACCTTCTCAATGAAGTGGTACCTATATATCCACTTGCATTTGCATGCTTTCAAACTGCTAGTTTGGTAGGAGCTGGGGCGACGGTGGGAGCTCACCACATCACGCAGTGCTCAGGTCTCAAACCAGTGGTGAAATTTATTACTACCAGTTCTGTGGGCGTGGCTTGGTGTGGGGGGGTAATGTGACTGGGTGGGCATGGCCAACTTTTTTTTTTTACTTTTTTAAAGCATTTTTTTACAACCTTTTTGTCCGAATAGGTTGTAAAAAAATGCTTTTAAAGGATAAAAAAAGGCTCTGACGATCACAGCTGTGGTGCGTGATCATCAGAGTTTTTTTTTACCTTTTAAAAGCAGGAAGTAATGACACCCAGGTGGGTGGGTGGAGCCTTGCACCACCATTGCTACCGGTTCTCCGAACCACCTGCCACAATAGCTACCGGATCACCTGATCTGGTCCGAACCCTGTCTCAAACCCTGGCTATCCAGCCGACAAACCCAGTGTCTTAACCACTAGGTTATCCCACTGCCTTTAAGGCAATGATCCCAATTGCTATGCTACTATAGCATTTTTTTCCCTCTTTAAATGCAAACTTTTATGCTCAGAAAACTGCACTCTTACAATCTAAGAAAATACAAATATTAAATATTACATTTCTGTTCATGTATTAGTTTGGGAAGTGCAAATTGAACAAATTTCTCCCATCTTTCTTCCAGGTATATAAATTCCAGTTGGCTGCTCCAAGATGCGAGTAATTAGAGAAGCCCATCTCTATCTCTGCGCCTTATCTAACAGCATGAATAACTCCACTTCTAGTTCAGGCAGCCTCATGATTCACCACTAAAGGCTTCGAAAGAAGGTTCTTGCTAAGAAAACCTCACAATAACATCATTAATCCATGAGGAATTTCCTCATCTGGGACATCTGTTCAAGGAATGTCACAAACAAACGTACAGTCCATTCATAACCTGCTCTCAATTCACAACTTTATAGAAAGCAGAAGCCACATTATTAAAACTTTATGATCTGAAAAAATATAACCAAATGCATTGTGCTTCCCTTGTTAATGCAGCTCTACATAAATAACTCTCTCTTTGTAAACTTATTAATGTTTGAATATTGTTTGGGCTGTGGATCTGAATATACTTTGACATACGATCAGCCTTTTCCAGTACACATTATATTTTTCTTATGAAAAATACATAAACATAATGATATTTTTCTCATACAATCTTTTGCTATCATCCTGCCTTCATATAAGTTATGCAAAAGAGCAAGCAGATACAGACAGAGCTTATATATTGCAACATATTTCTCTGCTGCTGAATTCTCATCTCCAAAGCTCGGTTACCATTATTTGGAACATGGAAGGTTGGGGAGCCAATCATTAGCATTTCACTTTCTCCCAACTAAAATAAATGGTAACATATTTAGGAGAATAGAAGCTATATGAATATTTGTCCTCCAGAAGTCTTGTTGTTAGTATTTTCACTTTCCACCATACCTTACAGAATTTTGAGGGAAACAGTTTGTGTGTGTGTGTGTTTGTTTGTATCAGTCTACTGCATATGTCTATCTTCTTTCTGTATCTGTATCTGTATATATCTCTATTTTATTGCAGGGGCCGATAATGACTTTTGCATTTGGATGTAAATTAATGATTTCCTCTCCCGAGATTGAACTTTATGAAGAAATATGATCAAATATTGCACAAAAAGGCCCAGAACAATCAAATGAAAAGTTCAAATAATGCACTAAAATTCTGGTGTCAGCAGAAAAAATATTCTGTCTTTAGAGCAAACATAGCCCCAGTTTATTTGAAAGAAAAAAAGACTGTAATTTTGAAAAGGGAAGGGATGAGACCAATGATTACAATGAACTTCATCCATTTACTAAACAGTTGTCTTAAATAAAATACTAGATATTAATAACATTGGGATTCTGCTGGAGATTAAAAAAAGTCTGAGGAAATGAGTCAAAATACGGTGTTTTGAGATACGGCTCTGAGGCATGCAAGAATACAGTATTCTTTAGGAATACAGAACAAGCTAAGGCTTCTGTGTTCAAAAATTGTGTCAGGAAACTGTAAGAAGCAATGAGAAATGGTTGATTAAATGGAACAGATTTACCATATTCATTATATTGAGTTCTAAAATCCTACAGGATAAAGTACAAGGAAAATGTTTTACCAGTAGCAGATTGTGTAGGATCCTTCCAATGCTGTTTTGCTGTCACTGCCCTCTATTCTACCTAGCATGGCCAATTATGAGGAACGATAAGATCTTCAATCAATTAGGATCTGGATGCTTGCTCCAGGCCAGTTGCTGTGGTAGTTAAATAAGTAGTTTGGGGAAGCAGCAATATTCCAGGGATATTGGAATCTGTTGTGAAAATGTTGGTGGAAAGATCTTATGCCAATTATTGTGCAAGGTGAATCAAAATATTGGATATGACACATCATCATCATCATCATCATCATCATCATCATCAGGTCCTGTGTAGAGCATATTAGACAGCAAGTGTTTTCAGCAGTTTTGATCGCTCACAGCATCTTCAAAATTGATATGTATTGTTAGGACATTGGTATTTTATTATGCACTATCCACACAGACTTCTTTAAACCATGCCTGGTTGTTGTTTTTTTTATTTTATTTTGCTATAAAAGAAATTTCTTTCAAATCTAGATTCCAATTCATGAAAAGAAAGAGAGGAAGTTATGTTGCCATCCTGTTGCCATAGGTTATTCCTTTACCCAGGGAAAAAGAGAAGAACAAAAACACGCAATGTAATGCAAAAACTGAGGAAAACAGCAGCCATGCCCACAGTATACATGAAAGGCCTTCAGAACATCAGAGATTATGGCAGGGATATTTCTTGCCACCACTTTTGCTACACTTATATTTACCACACGTAATAGAACAGGTAATAGGATTCTTTGGTATTCGAGGTATTTTAGCAACATTCTAAGCTAAAAATAATCTTTCTGCTACATTTCAAGATATCCCTATTGGTAAAATTAAATTATTTTGGAGTGCAACAGTCAACTAACAAGCAGTGTTTTGGAGCTCAGTACACAGTTTGTGAGTGTCGGTGTCTTGGGGGGGGGAAACACTGATGTGTGTGCAAAGAGCATATATATCTTCCTTCCACCCAGGGATAATGGGAGGACCCACGAAAATATCCGAACAAAGAATATGTTGACTGCAAGAATATCCTGCAATTTATTTCATAGCTGAAAGAAGAAAAGGGAAAATGCCTACATTTAATTTTCTATATCAAGGCCTAAAAATGCTTGTATCAATATCTGGTCAGTTGTTTTACTTTTTTTTTTTGTCATCTTAGAGTCAATAGGGGGTGTTCTGCTCCAGAATGATTGACATTCAAGAAACAGCAGAGCACACACGGAAGTCATAAACAACCAGAGATCAAAGACAGGAGGTCACATGCAAGGACCTATGGAAAACTTGGAGCCAAGACATAAATCAAGATCATAAACAGATCATCAGGAACAAGAATTTATGACTGTCAAGTTTCAGCAATGTGACATAGTCCCTGAGACATATTTATAACCAGCACTTCTCTAGCCCATCCAGTGTATTGTAATGCATGTAATTCTGGAAAGTTTTTTTTTTTCTCCTTAAATTGGATCCTAAGGTCTTCTGCCATCAACATGCACACATATTCACTCTAGAAAGTGGAACTTTCTAGGATTCTATTTTTGGATGATTCAAAGACAGCCTAGTATTTTTCTTAGTTACTCTTAGACTGCATACCATATTGAGTGTCCTCTTCTTAGGCACTTATCCTCCAAATAGACTTGGAAGACCTTTGAAAGAAAATTGTTTCTAAAATAGCCCTTTCCTTCTCCACGATCAGTTGTGCAGGCCTGCAATAAGCAATGTTTGCTTATTTGCTAACATTTGTGCATAGTGCTCCAATCTTTGTGGACTCTGAATACAAGTTCAACCAACATGAAAATATATACATAATACAACAATTAATAAAAGTTCAGTTGCTGCATACAATCACTGTAAGAGCCAAAGCCCATTGAAACTGGGCCTTCCAAAGTAAGAGAGATGTCACGGGCAAATACACCCCCAAAAGAAAAGAATTCTGGAGATGAAGGGCTAAAACCAAGAAGACTTAAGATCCCCTATATCTCATATTGGTACTGGACTCTCAACAAGTTCTGTCTAGATTAGGGGTGTCCAACCTTGGCAACTATATGACTTGTAGACAAACTCATAGGATTCTGGGGAACACTGGTTGTGGAATATTGGGAGTTGAAGTCCACGAATCTTAAAGTTGCTAAGAATGGATATAGCTGGTCTAGATGTTCAGATTAGATGGACAGAATAATTTTATGATCCAGTTGAAAATGTGGCATAATATACTTTCCCCCTTTCTGTCAACTGTTTTATCCGTTGCAACTTTTCTCCCAGGATTTTTTTCACCACCACCATAACAGTTGCACTACTTAAATTTCCTGCCGTTATATTTGAGACATAGAAATAGCATTATCTATTGGGCTGACAGTATGCCTGGGTTTCCTCTGGTGTAATTGAGCTCCCACCATTTCATCTAGATTCGTTTTGGCATGTTACAGAGTTGGATTTTTCCATAAAACTTTTCAGAAAAATGTACAATATACTGTTCAGAGGAACCATATAAAAACAAACAAAAATCATTGCCTTCCTGGGATTTTCTTAACAAAGGCTTTGATAGTACTGGTTAAAACAGCAATTGTGAAAAACCCTTCTGAATGCACATGCATATTTTTCCATTGAACTGTGTAGGAAAAAATATCCATATAATAATAATAATAATAATGACTGTTTTAAATTATATGCCCTTCAGTGTAACTGTATCCAGGTTTAATGGATTCTCTCTCTCTCTCTCTCTCTCTCTCTCTCTCTCTCTCTCTCTCTCTCTCTCTCTCTCTCTCTCTCTCTCTCTCTCTCTCTCTCCCTCTCCCTCTCCCTCTCTCTCTCTCTTTCTCTCTCCCCCTTTAATTTGGTAAATCCAGAGCAAGACTTATAGTCCTGTGACATTTTAAAAATACAGATGACTGCTTTGACAATTGTGGGTCAGCTGATAGGTCTGTAGCTGCATGATTGCTTCAAAGCTCTACAGTGTGTCAGAAAAGACAGGAGATTCTAGCCAGGGTCAAATCAGAGAAGCTGTTAGATCGAACAGTATTTTGTCCTATGGCAAAGGGAGCATGCATAGGTGGGTGAGAGGGGAATGTACTTAGAGAGTGGGGAGCTTTATGACAAATAGGGGCAGGAAGTCAGCAGCAGAAATCCTCAGGTCAATTCGACTAGTGGGCTGTGAATGTTTTCTGATCCAGAAGTTTTCCTGCACAAAACAAGAAAACTTACACAGAATGAAACTCATACAGTCCTCATTGATTATGGCCAACCCAACCAGCTTAGCCAAGGGTAGAGCATGGAGAACTAGAGTCACAAATGGGTAGAGAGTACCAGCTTGGGGAATGATACCCATCACCATGGCATATACATTTGGCATTAAAAACATGTTCTTTTGTGTCACACATTCATCATATACTTCTGCCAGTTCTTTGTTTAAAATTATTAAGTCATAAATTGTGTGTGTACACATGCCTTCAAGTTGGTATTGCAGTTTTCTTGGCAAAGTTAATCAGAAGTGGCTTGCCACTGCCTCCTTCCTAGGGCTAAGACAGAGTGACTGTCCCAAGGTCACACAACTGGCTTTGTACCCAAGGCAGTACTAGAACATATAGTCTCCCAGTTTCTAGCAAGATGTCTTAAACTACACCAAACAAACCCTCTTTAAGTCATAATGGAAACATTTTTTTCAATATCCTTCCTGTTTTTTTCCCCAATATTACACTTTTAAATCACTGAATAGGCAGAAAGGATGAACGAGGACAGCTACATAAAAAGCTATGGAATGCATACATCATCCCAAAAGAAACACCCTGTGAGATCACAATTATCTAAGGACAATACTGTCTAGAAATAATTTTGCTGCAGTATTACTGATAGGGAAAATGCATCCACAATTGGGTCTTCTTTCTCTTTTCTTGGAAATTTGTCTCTCTCTCTCTTTCTTTCTTTCTTT